CGGCATAAGGGTTTTAACTTCTTCTGTTAATGAAAGAAAACAGCATAAATATTCGCTTAAACAAGTAAGAACTAGTTTGTTTAGTGAACTTCAACGTAAAATTAAAGAAAAATTGCAGAAGCAGGTTATGATTAAACAGCAGCCACTGTATTTTACTAACAATAAAATTTTCAAAAATCACTAAGTAAATACCATACAATAAGATGTACACGGTAATATTTTTTAATAAACAGTTTCAAATTTCTTTTAATTTTCCTTTCTGTACATACAATAGTTCAAAGCTACTTAGCTCCAAAACTGATCATGATTAAATACCAGCCATATTCTTTCATAGACCGGTACAACATTCAAAAATTACTAAATATTATAAATATTATTACGATAAATATTTTACTACGAGATGTATATGCTAATTTCTAAATAAACGGTAATTCCGCGTTCAGAAAAATTGTTCCTTCTAAAATAAATATTTTACTATGAGATATATATGCTAATTTCTAAATAAACGGTAATTCCGCGTTCAGAAAAATTGTTCCTTCTAAAATAAATATTTTACTATGAGATATATATGCTAATTTCTAAATAAACGGTAATTCCGCGTTCAGAAAAATTGTTCCTTCTAAAATAAATATTTTACTATGAGATATATATGCTAATTTCTAAATAAACGGTAATTCCGCGTTCAGAAAAATTGTTCCTTCTAAAATAAATATTTTACTATGAGATATATATGCTAATTTCTAAATAAACGGTAATTCCACGTACAGAAAAATTGTTTCTTCTAAAATAAATATTTTACTATGAAATGTATATTCTAATTTCTAAATAAACGGTAATTCCGCGTTCATAAAAATTGTTCCCTTTACTTAGTAGATCATAGATACGCGATCACTTAACATTGTCCCCAGCCATAGTTCACAAACGCGTTGTATAATCCCCGATCCGGCGCAGTATTCCCTGGGCGACACGGAATTCTTTCTGTTTCAAGGGTTTTCATCGTAGATTCGAACCGGTCTTTCCCATCGGCGGCCGCAGCCCTTGGTCGTTCCGCGGTTCGGCACAGAAGAAGAGCCGGCGGAATCGCGTTTTTTGATAGATCAGCGAACGAGCCTCTCACGAGAGAAGTCCCACGAACGAGCTCGGCACAAGGATCGCCCGGAATGCCGAAATAGCAAATTAGAGAATTCCAGGAGATCTGCTGTCTCTCTTCCATTTCTTTCTTCTGATCCCGGCCCCCGCGCTTTTGTCCTCCTCCGCTCTAGCGTAACGCGGATCCGGCTTCTCCAGCTCCCGCGAACCCTTCCGACAAACTTAATCTCGTAATGATCTATTGTTTCGCGTGGCTTCAGCGAATTTTCACACCTGCAGCCGGTACACCAGTCACGGACACGGCATCTGCTCGCAGAGGTTTCCGCAAACAGGATTCCTTCCGTTTAGGCTTCTTAATTGCGACTCTTCTCCGCGATAATAAATACACGCGAGCACTTAAACAGTGACTATTTAATTGAATCTTTGATCAACGATATCGACATTTGTATGACGCCGAGACGGCACATTTTATTCTACATTCTGCTGGATATATAAATTATATTATATAACAAAAGATCAGGATATATTGTTTGTTGCTTTATATAAATGACGATGCCGGATTTGTTTATTAGATATTTCGCCAGTTTTATTATAACAGAAGCTCTCGAATAAAGGAGTTTATTCGATGGTTTATTAAGGGAGAATCTTTTTAACGATTTCAACAACTTCAAAATAAATATTATAAGAATATGATAAGAATATAATAGATATTTTGACCTTTATTACCTTCATCCAGATGTATTGATTTAATTAATGCTGTCATGGCACACGAATGACTCATTTTCCATGCTCTGACAAGGTTTTACTGCACTTTGAAGCATAGAAATTTAAATAAAATCGAAAGCATATTTCGAAGTCCGCAAGGGATGTATTTAATGTATTTATATTTTTAAGAAGTAAAGTAAAACTTGAACTAAATAATATAAGTAAACAAAATTGCTGTAAACATTGTCAGCAACAACAGCGGCGGCATTGTTCGAGAGACATTATCGTCGGCAGGAAATAGAAAACGATTTCAGTGAAAATTCTTTTATGAAATATTCAACTGATGTGTACGTAGGAAAATGCGTCTGGTATGTCGTTCTAGATGAGAGCTTGATATACCTTCGAATGTCCTTCGCATGCTTCGTTTCCACATCGAGGAAAATACTTCAAAGATCCATATTTAACACAATGGCCGCATACGTGCATTTTAGATCGAATACTTGCGGCGCAATGATTGACTTTATAATAACTCGAAGCGACAGTTAGCGCATACAGATATTCGATAAATATCTGCGGGTAGAAAATTTCCTGCTTTTTTTACGATGCAACCGCATACTGTGTGCCTTTCAATGATACTTTTATACCGTTAATTACAATCGTTGCTAGAATATTTAAAATGTTCCTGGCGAAGCAAATAATTTCAACGGGAATGGCGTTAAAACGTTACATAATATTAAACAATTGTATTATATATTGTTTATTCTTTACAAGATACCAATCCTACGGATTTATTAAAAAAATAATGCTGTCCATATATAAATCAATTAATTTGTCAACTCCCCATTGTTATTCGATTGCGTCGTCTTCGTTGTTCATTCAAGATTTCGAACATAATCTACCACATGATAATAGTAATAATAAACAATATCAATAATATTAACAATATAACATGTTAATATTAATTTAATATCAGTAATATTAATAGTATTAATACTAATAATATAATATGTTAATATTAGTTTAATACTAATAATATAATATGTTAATATTAGTTTAATACTAATAATATAATATGTTAATATTAGTTTAATATTAATAATAGTAGATTACGAGTGGAATGCTTGGATGAGTCAAATAAATGGATCACACTGGTTACATTCGTGAAACAAAATTCCTGTTCCGAGCTGCGAGGCCGAAAATAAATAATGACGAATATTAATTTAACATCAATGTGATTAATTTCTCCAACGTAACCTGAATCCATTCGTTCATCTCATTTACGCATTCCACTCATAATCCACCACACGCGGACGTAATTACAAATTGTTCTACTTTCGTAAGAATTTATTAACGACTGACGTTTCTAATTAGCATATCGCGTCCCAAGTTCCTATGATTCACAGAGATCCCTTGTATTACATTAAACACACGTTTATTGTACAGAGTGCACGGCCACTCGCACATTTTATTTTTCAGCACCGACAACCCCAATCCAATATACAACTCCCGTAATAGAATGATTCGAAGGCAAGCATTATTAATAGTCCAACCCCTGCGCCGGGCTCATTGAAACCGCTCCCATCGAGGGCGAAAATTACGACAGTTATTACAGCGTTGATCGCACACCTATTGCCGGCCATTGAGGAGCATCCTCTTGAAGGACCTTTGAAAGGGCTAACTCGAAAAGCCGGGCTACCCTGTTCAAGATCCGTTGTCTATGTCTCCCCCCTCTCTCTATCTCTTTATTTCTCTCTCTTTATTTTTCTCTCTCCCTCTCTTTATTTCTCTTTCTCTTTCTTTATTTTTCTCTCTCTTTCTTTATTTTCTCCCTCTCTCTCTTTATTTTTCTCTCTCTTTCTTTATTTCTCTCTCCCTTTCTTTATTTTCTCACTCTCTCTCTCTCTCTCTCTCTCTCTCTCTCTCTCTCTCTCTCTCTCTCTCTTTCTCTCTC